GGAGGAGACACAGGGTTTGAAGTTTTTGTGAGGAGTTCATCACTTTTTTAGCTTGATGGAGAAGATTGTTCTGCGTAAATTGATCTCTCGAGCTAGTGGCTGCGATTTTTTTCGGAGGAGGTACAGGGTTTTGGAGTTTTTGTTAGGAGTTCATCACTATTCCAGCTTGATGGGGAAGGTTGTTCTACTTAAATTGATCTTTCGAGCTAGTGGCTGCGATTTTTTTGGAGGAGATATAGGGTTTTGGAGTTTTTGTGAGAAGTTCATCACTTTTTCAGCCGGTTCTTGGGCTGCCCAGAGTTGTAACAGGTGACAAGTGCACTAGCCGTCTGCATCCTCCACCGGAGGTCGTACAGGACGCGGTCGCTCGATCCTTCCCGTGAAAATGGCATCCAACGGCCAATGGCCGCCAACGGCGACTGGTAGATGGCACAGCCATCGCGAGTGCGCGAGCCCCTACTAGAAATTCGTTGCGCCGCCCTTGGGGGCAAAAAATGATGGAAGCTAACGTACGAAACCAGAGGGTAGCACAGGATGCAATCGCGCGATCCTGCCCGTGAGCAATCTCCTAACTCATCTCTGATGTACATATGTTTATTTATGTTTCTATGGTTGAATTTAAAAAAATTCTTAAGTGTGAGTTAGTGGAACTAACAAAGTACAGGAATTGTAATGAGTTTCATTTACAATATGGAATTGCAAAGATTTCTCTGCTTTGTGAGAATAATAAAAATCTCTCTAAAAAGAGTTATGTATCGATCGAATAAAATTCCATTGAAGGTATGTCCATATTACACGTCATGTTTAATTTTCAATATTATCCATTATTATTCTTTTTAAATTCATTGGCAGTAAGCATATCAATAATATTTTAGGAAACTTGTCATGGTATGTTAACAAGAAGTATGCCATTGACAATCCCATTTACTTTCATGGGAGTTTGGGGACTTCTTCAAAAGGATGGAGAAAAAGCAGTAACTGTCACTGCTAAAGATCTATTACTGACCAAAGCAGATACTTTATTTGAACATGGAAAGTATCAAGAAGTATATGATCTTTTAAATAAGTACAGGGTAATTCCTTTTCACTGTAATGCACTGATTAATAAAATAAATTCGCATGAGGAAATGTTTGTCACGTAGTCTTGATATTAATTGAAGTCTATTGTACTTATCTTCGCTAATCTACTTTTTAAAATTTGTAATTAAATACTAATTGCATCTGAAAAATGATTAACTCGGTCCCACAAGAACCAATGTAATTCCATTTTAGGATGAACAAGATGTTGAGATCTTATGGCGTTTATCCAGATGTTTATATAAGATGTCTAAAACTAAAAAGGATTATGAAGCAAAGAAACTGATCTATGAGGGATATGAATTAATTTCACTTGCCTTAAGTATTAAAGAGGATCATTATGCTGTGCATAAATGGGTATGCGTACTTTTGGATAGTAAAAGTAGTTACGAAGGAATGAAAGAGAGGATAAAACAATTGAACACGGTGAAGAACCATATGCTGGTAAAATATTTGTTTTATATGTATTCATCTACAATATAAATAATTAGTAACCTAATAAGACTTAGTATTACCTCCCGTTTTGTTACAGAGGGCTATAGAACTTAATCCTAATGACTCTACAACATTATACATGCTAGGAAATTGGTGTTTTCAAGTGACGAGCTTATCTTGGTATCAAAGAAAATTAGCATCAGCACTTTTTGGGGAGCCGCCAACATCTTCTTATGAAGAAGCATTGATGTATTTTAAACGAGCAGAGGAAATTAGCCCACAATTTTACAGTCAAAATTTACTTATGTTAGCAAAAACGTATTTAAAGTTAAAAAGGGAAGAAGAAGCCCATAAATATCTTAAATTGGCTGCTGAATATCCAGTAAAGTGTTCTGATGATCACGAAGCTAAACAAGAAGCTCGTAAACTTATGAGTGGTTACGAATCTGCATGAAGGTATGACAACACAAATTCTATTAGCACTAATCATTGTAATGTATTAGTGCACATTCAATAATATTACAAAAATAGTTATTACATTGAATAAGATTACTCGCGATGTGTTTATGATAAAAACACTGATCTCTATTAACTAGGGAAATATAGTTTACAGTAAACATTTGACAAGAGAGTGCTATATACATGTGCTTATAAGTATTGTACAAAGTATTAACGATCAATGTCTTCTTCATCATCGTCATCTTGATGTTGGTTTTCCAATCTTATGCAACACTCGTTCCTGTTTGTATGTTGCACGCTATGTGCATGATGTTGATGTGGAACGTATTGTACTGGACGCAATTGAACATGACCTCCTGCCATCATTGCGTGATTCTGATGATGGACATATATAGCTTGATGATGACCATGCATATGCTGTTCACGCGCATACTGTTCACGCTCATGCTGTTCACGCTCACGCTGTTCACGCTCTCGCTGTTCACGCTCACGTTGTTCACGCTCACGCTGTTGTCGCTCACGTTGTTCGCGCACATGCTGTTCACGTTGCAGTTGACGTTGCACTTGACGTTGCAGTTGACGTTGGATGCGTGGATCTGGTCGTTGCATCTGTTGTCCAACTTCAGGTCTGTCTGGCCACAGGTCCGGATGATCGTCATCAAAGCTCATAAGATTAGGAAAGAGCATGCGGACGAGTTCAAAGTTATTCCTGATAAGGTTCATTGATCTCTCGGGGCCACGATTCGGCATCTTTGCGATTCAATCTGTAGAGAAGGAAACAATATTTAAATCGATGGATCAACCGAGACTATTATTGTTGATTAAGATATGCCAAGAAATGAAATTTTCCTTTGCTCAACTTTCCTTAAAAATGAATAGGAATATTTAAAAATCTCAATAGTGCCATTTTACTTTAGTAAATAAAAAGATTCTCTATTTACATGTACGCTGGTAAACATGTCTTTCTATGCCTTCCCATTATATGTCGTACCTTATACATTAGGGAGCAAGTCATGTTTAACAGTGTATTTCTTCAGTTAAACTTTTCAGTTCTAAGTACTTTCAATGTTTGGACGAAATTTGTCAACGCGTATACGTCTAATGCGCCACATACTGGATGCGTATATATACCCATAGCACCGAAATAGTTAAAGATACATTTAAGTTACAATGTACTTTTACTTGTATATATATATATACATACTTATATGTAAGTATATATATATATATTTTTTTTTAACATGACTGATGATACTAACTTAATGGCAGAATGTATTTGTTCGAATCAAGAATTTTTTGTTTGATACATCATAATTTATATTTTTTCAAAAAGAAAAGGCACTTCCTACATTTCTTGGCATTCGAATAAGAATAGAGTTTGCATTGTTCTTTTTCATTATTCTAATAATTACCGGAAAATAGTTTGCAGATAATAGTTGAGGCACTTCACGTGATCTTATGTCCTCAAAAGAACAAGTTCTCAAACTGTAGGACACGTTTAGGTTTCGGTTAGAAAGAGTTACTCGCGTTCGCTCGTCTTCACTTCTGCACTGATTTTAATGCTCTGAAGATTACCCCAAAGAAAAGTGCATATATATACCACTTTTAGGTGACCGCCCCTTTGAGTTTAGCCTTTTCTGATTGGCACGTTGTAGTTAGTGAAAACTTTAAATTTACCTGCATTTCCTTCTGGTATGACAATTCAAAGTGCGGAGTCCCCTGCAACTATTTACCTGATATATTACCGATGTTCGTTTTCCAGAGGGACCTCCATGGGGATAATAATCTTAAGACTACCTGAATGGGTACCGGCGTTTCCATATAATAGATCAGGTCATACGGATCAGCCAAGTTGAGCCTCCCCGAAGGATTACGAGCTGCTCATGATTCGCAGGTAAAAGGTACCAGGTAAACCTGCAAAGGGGTAGTCACCTTTATGATCGCAATCTCGCGGTCGTAGTTCTCTAAGCATAATTCGTAGCTGTGAAATCATGCTGTATGTGACAGTATCTACATGTCTGTGAAATCAATTTTTAATTTGTCGATGTGATTCACTTCATCTAAATGATCTCTCCAAGACCTGTTACCTTCGCCCTGGCACCGAAGACACTTTTTTGCTTTTATGACGTTCACATGTGAGCTCCTTGATTGCTAATATTTTTAATTGTGCGATTATCCTGGCACAATCATTTCTCGTATGAGTGTTTTTAATAATTCTATCTGCCGTTGGTATATTGATCGAAACATACACTATTTTGGTTCTGGTGTAGGCTAAGTGAAGAAAATATTTTTTTAGGAAATCCGAATTCTGAAAGTATCACAGGGTGTTCTTTAGGTGCTCATGAGTTTTGTGCTAAAGTTTAAGTCAGTTCGGTGGCTTACCCTAAAAAAAAGTGTTTTATGTGAATTAACTAGTTTTAGGCAGGTTTCACTTCACCTTAAGTTTTGCTAAATCGTAGGTATAAGAAACGAACAAGACGTTGAATTATTTTTGTATGATAAAGAAATGAAATAACAAAGTAAATGTTACGTACATTCCATTTGATCCGTCAACCATCAACAGCCGTCTAACAAACTGTGATTTATTAAAGACTGGCTTGATTATATGTTTTGTTGATACATTTTCTAATGTTTTATTAATTTTAGCATACAAATTGAAATTTTATCTATGTAACAAATATAACGGGGTATAAAAGTTTTATATAAATTTATATTCTTTGTAAGTAGGTTAAGTAAATATCAAAATAATTGTATACGTGTATTGTGTTAATATATCAAATCCTAACTGATTGTCTCACTGATTTAGAGATTAACAACGCCCAGTCGAAACTGCTATTGTCTTTTTTGAAAACGGTTAGATCTAGAAGCATGAAATTCTGTAGAAATATTCTTTGTTGAAAACAATTATTATGCAAGACGAAATTTCGATTTTCACTTTTTGAAGGGGTGAAAACAGGAGTGACGAGTAGGATGTACCAGCACGATGCACGGATAATCGACAAGCATTTAATAAATTAATGGTACATAGTTTTTGATAAAATGTGTATATGTGATTTTTTAGAACTTTGGACTTAACAGAATATTATTATAAAAGTCACCGACATTTTACTGTTACAGTACTTTTACGTAACTTACTGAGACAATTAGTTGAAAACGTGGATTTTATGAAGTTTAAACAGTTTACAGATTGCCTCAAGTTGTGCATAGGAAGTATATTTTTCAACTAAAATTTATTAGTTTTCATTACAGAGTTACAATACTTACATAAATGAGTATAATTTATTTGCGCTTTTAATAAATAATAATTTACGTTACACGCCTATGGAACACTGGGGGGAAAGAGTTTTCATATTGTTCATTACAAGTCACCATCTTTGATACTAATCTCAATATTTAACAGCTAATCGCTAACCCTACCGGATTATGCCCTCCGACTTAAAAAGTAATGTGATCTTATTAGATGTCTATTCGCGTTTTTTTCTTTTCTAGCACATAAATTCAAGAATCATACACACTTGAAGTAAATTTAACCCTTTATACCTGAAAGATAATTGTAATAAAAAATAACTGAAGGAACGTCAGCATCACACGAGCCATTTAAGAAAACTGTGTAAAGACTATGTAAAGACAAGAACTGCCGGTAAATAACTTTTAAAAAAGTATATCAAACATATTTTTCAGTTCATAATTTTCCCTTAACCCGTGGTCTGTCTGAAGTACAAATAATCTCAAAATGGTAAAACACAGAATTCAGTTTTCTCGATCAATGCCGTAAAAATAACGGTTACAATTTCAAAATTCAGTTATTGCGATTCTTAATATTTGTATCCCTTCTTAATATCGTTATCCCTTAAAAATTCCCCAAAATACGAAGGTTTTGATAATATTAAGATCATTTCTTCCTTCGTTAAAAATTACGATATCATTGTAAGAGATATTGCAATTCATAAAATATGCTTATATCTTTTAAACGGGTTATGAGATGAAGTTCGAATTCTATGGATTTGCTTTACACCCAAAGTGGTTTACAGTCCACTGAATATCCAATCTTTGTATCTTATCGAGATATAAAGGGTTAACATACACAGCTGCAATCGACGAGGGCAAACGTGGAAATCGTAAGGGGGAGGGGCAAGGGGGTAATCACTTCGACTTAAAATATAAAACGTTGCTATAAGGTCCTTTTCACCTCCGAATAACGTCTCAAGGGAGCATCGTAAATCTATCCTTGAATCACAGGAATTCGGAGTTCTCATACCTCGTCTCACATTCGGGTCTAATTTGCGCTCCGATGGTCAAACGATTAGGTTTCTTTTCGATTTATCGAAGGACTTTAATGATCGCTAATGAGAGCCCAGTTAGTTACTACCGGCATTTCAACATTCTTGCTCTAAACGCCTCCGAGAACGGCATGGAGTCTGGCCGATTTTTCGACATCGGTTTTCGCTCTCAAATTAACAGTTTATACGAGCAATTATACGTTATACGAGTCGACGAAGCGTTTCGATTGGCAAATCGATTCGGCATTCCCCCATCGCCTGGGTAAAAGGGGTTTCTATTATACCCGTTATTGTAATTTATTGCGATTTGTGTGGGCTCAGCGATTCTAGAAGCGGTAAGTAGCCTCGAAGTCCCCTTTACAATGACTACTCGAGCCGACAGGAAATTCCGTGAAAAGCTGCAGGTAGTAAGGGTATAATTATAAATTGTCGTATTCGACGATTGGCTTTTATGTCGTCCTCACAATGTGATTCCTGGAAATACCTGCTGACCCAGGTGCAGTATAAACTGGGCCTCGGCTTATACCAGTAAAGCTGATCTACCTGCAACGAGAACAGGTTACTGTCGATCCTATGCCCTACCGAAGAACAATTCAAATTGTCAAAGATTTTTCTTCCCAGAATATTGTGGTTCATTTCAGTAAATGGATGAAAAGACGTAAAATTTGTCCTGTGATTCTTATAGAGAAGCGAAACATATGAAGCGTTTTTAAATACATTTCATGAAGGCTTTGTAAATCTTGTTTAAACTATAATTTGCAATAATAATCGTCTACAGGTGCCAAATTACTAATCCCATACATATCATGATAATCATTCACATGGGTATACTACTTCTTCGGTAACTTTTCAAGTTTAATTAAATCGTGTTAATCGAAACATCTTTTCTAATTCTTCGAGTCGTCGTTATTGAAAATCTTACACATCTTATAGATGTTAAAATTTCCAATACCTTCCCTACCTTTATCTTTGTACAATATATTATCAGACATTTGTTACGTTACACGTCGTCTTTACTTCGATTACTTCTGGCCGACCTTTATCGTCATAGTACTTAGGCATGTTGCAGCAGTAACTAAAACTACTATTTAAGCAATTTATGAAACGGGAGTGAACAGTTGCGTATCCGAGAATTGCGGGATACCTTTGGCAATCCAGGCGACGGTGAATTCGAATCGTTGAAAGTATCCGAAATTGATTTTTTACCAACCCAGCTTACCCCGTCTTAGCTTGACAATATTAAATAAATTTCCAGAAATCTGGGCACAGGTATTTCGGTAAGCTAGATCATCGGTTGAAAAAACGCATTAATACCTTTAAAACTTCAAAAAGAACAAACGTTTCCTATTTTTTTTTTATGATTTACATTTGGATCGTAAGAAAGTCGTAGATTTTTCCCAAATAGATATCTCCGTAATCATCGAATGAACCTCCAGGACCGTCTGTGAACGAATGAAAATTTAACAAAAATCCACGCCTTAAGTTCCAAAACCATCGAAAAACAAATCGAATCTCGTTTACATTTACAGGTGGTAAAAAATGAATTTCAAGACCTCTTAAGAACGGTCGACCTTGTCAAGAGATTCGCAGTTCGCGATTCGCATGCATCCCTCGAAAGAAACCTAAATACGCTCCTCTAAATACTCTGCTAAGACCTCGAGGAATGTAATAAGTCTGCCGCGAGCACGTACGTGCAGACGATGCGTAATCCACGCCCCGTATGACCGGGTGTACTCGCAGCGCGGTAGATAGAATGGCCACGGAACGACCGTGCGATCGATCGTGATTCTGCCGATGCAATGTAACAATTCGAATCGATCCACCTTTGGAGATCTCCCAGGGACGAGCCATATCGCGACTGTATCTTGCATCGTAATGGACCCTGAATGCACCACAATGGCACAATGGCGGGATTCTCAGTGGACGAGGGGGGCACCTCCTTCGAGGGGCGATTTTGCACGCCGTTTAACGGCTGGGCACGTCTTTCTTCGGCCGATCGATCGGCCACCTTCCTTACGATCTTCCCCCGGTTAATCGCGTCGTTTACTTGCACGTGTACTCCTCGGATCGCTCGGTGCACGTGTCGCAGTGCACCCGACAACACCAGTGGAACTTGCACCTGCATTGCCACGTCCTGGTAAATTGATGCGTATTATAGCCTCGGCCACAGCACATCAGGTCGCATCCGTCAGTACCTGAAAACCAGGGAGATTTAGTTAGGCAACTTCCTCCGTTTGGCTCTTCTTCTTTTCCCTTCTTTACGGGTTTTACCCTAAACTCAGAGAAAGCGCAGGATAAACCAGTTTGTTTAAAATAAAATGAAAAATTAATACAAGGGATGAGCAAATATTCAATTCCACGAGATCGTGGAAAAACTGGTAGACTATTATAGATCAAACTGTCGGTGGGAATGGAAATCAAAAACTACCTTGCACTTTGCTTCGAAACGTCACATAAAGATCTTATTAAGCTGTAGGTAACTTCGAACAGGGATATTCCAATTTATCTTCACGTTATCTAAATGGAAAATAATTATTTTAATCAAAGTATTGAATTAGTATTTTTTTTTCTTCAAGTTCTTATTTCCCGGTTTCGATGAAACCTTCGTTATCTTTAAATTTCAAACCCTATTCATCTTCAGTGGTCCGAATCGTCAAATTAGCATTACAGCCTATAAATTCATGAGACATTCCGTATTCTCGAAATATTCGGTAAATCAACATGAACCCATTAGTATGCAATGATTTAAATGATTTGCTCTAGTTTTGACATATTTCGACTATGACTGCAACAGATTTAATATGTCCCGAAAAACTGTTTCAAATTGACGTTTTACTTTTCTGTAGCCCGAGTCGGAAATGTCAAAATTGTGGTTTGTCCACCAATATCATTGGTTAGCCGGTCATTCGCCCCTATTGTTTGCGGCGGTAGAAATTAAATAGCACTAGTAGTTTCTTTTTTTTTTAGAACATTTTGTAATTGAAATTACCAACAATATTCAGAATATGCTGCACGCCCGCTTCGCTATTCAGTCGCTCACGGTCTCCATTAGTTTGATTCGTAAATTGTTATCACCTTTGCTGGTGCGATTACAGGACCTGCCCTGAGTGCCGAGGCTACCTTGAGCCAGATCGGGCTCGCAGTAATTCGGGGAAGGCTGCAGAAACACCAGTTCGCTCCTCTTCGGGATCCTCTTCTGTCCCATTCCTGGTCCACCGCTAACCTTGGTCCTTTTTAACACAAGGTGTGGCCTCCTCGGCTTGGTGGCTTTTTTCATTGGCCTCCGATCGTTCCTCAACTTGTTTTGTTCGCTAGGCTTGCCCTGGGTCTTTGCATCGTTTCCCAGGATGGGCATTAGGTCCATCGAAGATGAATGAGACATCATGTCCAGGCCCTGCAAGATTTCCGGAAATGATATGAGAATGATGTTGAAATAAAATTCGTCTTTTACTTTAAGATAGTTTAATTCACATGCAGCGAAGATTTTCTTACTCGGAGAATATGCTTAGTTTTAAGGAGAAAAAGGAAATTATTGATGAATGAAGTAAGATGAAGGATTCATTCGATGTACTCATGTGCTATAAAATAGGGAAAAATATTACGTGCGTGGTAAAGAATTTTTTTAATCAAGTTTGATCAACGAAGGACCATCCAAATAGCTTGAGGTATACGATTGAACATTTTGAAACCGATGACAGAATGTTTCTTGGCATAATCAAAATTTGTACATTAGTTTATTGAGCACCCACTTATGCAAAACAAGTCATTCAGATTTGTTAAATAGAACATTTGTAGATTGCAGAAAAGACTTTCTACGGGCGAGTGGGTACGATTCTAAGGTATTTCATAAGTCAATTCTATGACTCGCGTAAACGCGGATTTTCTCCTTGCGTCCCCTCGAGTACGACGCTGCAATGATTACTGGGATTTCGCCGAGGGTACAGCCAATTAACATTTCTCTAATTACGACATTTATATCGACTTGGGTATCTGCACTTGTAAATCCTTACAAATTGCCGGAGTATTTATAGAACTACCGATTGCAGAAATTGCTACTTGGTCCGTTGAAGTGGCGCGTTATTAATGCTTCGGACGATCCATTGTGAAAGGAGCAAAAAAGTAGCACATAAGCGAGTGGGTACTAATACGAGAAGAAGGAAGGATCATTAATTTGTCAAAATGAGTATCTAGATTTAACGACTGATTCTTCTCAAAGTACATACAACGTGGGATTGCGCAAGCTCTCGATGGTAGCCGAGACTTGAATTTCCTCTCCATCCTATTATTCCTCAACTATGACACGTTATAATTATCGGCATATTTTTTCCGATAGTAAGTACAGACCATATTTTTTAATTACGACATTATCGCAGCGAATGTCTGCAACTGCAAGTCCTTGAACGTTTGCAGAACTCTTCTGGGTTGATCGATTGCAGAAGCTACCACGGCGTTTATCTACACTGCGGACATGTTACGAGATGTTTATTGCCCTTTTGTTTCTTTCTCTCTCTTATTTTTTTTAAGTACAGGTCAAAGGTCGTCGACGGTTCTGGCCGCTATCCACCGTGAAATGAGTAAAAAAGCAAATCTTGACAGTACTAACGACTCACGGTTCATTCGTCTCTTCAAGGACGATACGGTGATCATGGAAACTTAATCGATACGGAATCGTCGTTTTATTCCTCTACCAGGGAAGAGACGACATTGGGTTCGCGTTTGTTTCGTAATTTCATAAGTGAACACGAGTCTCTCTCTTCGATAAGGAATGCTTGCACGAAGACCATTAGAGTCTGTGTTTGCCAGAGACGCGCGAGAAATTCCGCTTTTCGAAATGTCACGGAGAAGCATTTCGAACGAGTCACGGACTCGCGATCTTGTCGGCGGAAAGCTAATAAAAATGGGAAATGTCGCGAAGACAAGGGTATCGCATAAAACTGCAGCTGCTAAACAAAAATCCAGGAGGTTCATTGACGGGTTAGCAGACTCGCGAGCGCGGTAATTATGCCATTAATCAATCGGTTTCATAAGACATTCAGAGTTCAACCGAGAAATGAAATTAATACGTTTATGAATTATTAATTACGCCGAAAGAAATGTCGTAATTGAATTTATGCACTTTCCAAGCAAAGGAAAAGCATATTTCCGTGAGTACGTCTGACTTTAACTACGATAAGACAATATTTCAAGAAGTGTCCCAAGAAAATAATGACTAGACCCAAACTTTCGAATGTCGCAGGAATAAGTAATTGATATTCCTGTATCTATGCATTTTCCCCTGCTTCACATCAATTACCTAATTACCGAAATCGTGACGTACAGGATTATTTTCACTAAGTCATTGACATCAATAGCGAGTGCTCAATAAACGGTCAAAGTAACATTTTTCGCAATAGTCTAAACCCTTCTCATTACAAACGCTTTTAATTACAATTTCAATGAGAACCGATGTTCAACGTTAATGAATTCACCAAATTCAATAATGATCGATCTCAGATGGGTAAAAAGTGACATTCGGTTAATGTCCAACGCCGGCAGGAACGTCTGCCTTGGGAAATAACAATTGTCATCCGTTTCTCAGTGTATTGTTTCCTAGGGGCAAGGGAAGGTACACTCGCAAGAATCGTTTCCCGGAAGTTTCTGAAAGGTCTTTAGGCAATAATTCATATCTTGTGGAAGCCACTCCACGAGTGGGCATGCTCGCTACATGCTGACATGGCCGCGGCACGACTCGGCATGCGAGTTAGCCAGGCATTTATGCTCGCCTCGCGACAGGAAGCGAGACGGAAGGCGAGCTCGCGTACGAATAAATTGCGAAAGGGTAAATTCGCAATGACAGAATGACAAACCGTCGTCACCTGCACCGTAGGCGGAGGAGGCGGCGTGATTGCTATAACCGGCCTTGCCCTGTAATACTTCTTCATGAGAGCGTCGCCGATTTGACGGAAGCTGGGCAGGGTTCGCCAGCACGTCCTTACGGTGCAAGAGCCCGATACCCCGTGGCACTTGCACTCCGTCTGCAGAAGGGCCTTCACGATCTGAAATAACACCGAGTATTAATTTACTCCTCTTAGGATGTTTCTAAACTCCTTTTCTTATAACTGTTTAACGGGGGCTCGTATCAATTAACATCGTAAAAATAATCATTTTTTCAACCGGTGCAGGAAAAAATAAATTACATGTAAATACAACTTAAGTGTGTTATTAACCATACTTTTAGGTACGTATTATTACTTTATAAAAAAAATTGTTTTGAAATTTTAAAGCCAGTTTTCATACTTTGTCATAAGATGTCTCAGAAAGTTTTGGCTCCACATAGTTTATATTTTGCACATTGATAAAATATGTGGCTATTGAAGTAGTAATACTAAAAATTTCTGTTATCAACTAATATTTTTTGCCAATATTTCCATACAAACGAGGATGTCCACCAAATTACCGTTCTTTACAATGCATCATAACTCAAACATTGTTTCATGTAAAACGATAAATAATTATATCAATGTGTACCTCAAATTATGGTTAATGATACACTCAAACTGTATTTTGAGATTCATTTCTTTCCTGTAACTCTTTGAAAAATGGGTAATTTTAATCCGTCAGGTATGAGCCCCTCAATAAATAAAACCAATATTCTTGTAATGCTTCTGGTGGATGCATGTGGTGAAATAAAAATTAGAAAGCATAAAATTGTAATGATACGTACAGGGAAATATTAGAACCGGGTGTATTTCTAATTTGAGGGAAAAGGAACTCGGGCTTGTACGATAACAAAGAGGGTATCATAAGAAATTTGTCGAAACCTAAATGTCGGTCCTGATTCGAAAGGGTACAAACGCTCTTCGGCTTAAGGCCATTACTTCCCCTACAGCAGTTGTGACTCATTTACGGGTATAGTGAGTCTTACTCATACCTTGCCGGACTTCTAAGTACCTAAGTAGTCCAGGTACCTAGACCTTCCGTCCCACGGTTGTATTAAGTACCGATTGCCCTTATAAAAATACAGCGGTCTTATTTAGTCCGGTAGCAACGAAATAAGAAACGTAAAGACCTTCCACAGAAATCCCTTCTTATCCCTAAATTTCTTCTACTTCGGTACCTTGGTTTACCATACAATTTCTCCAATTATGCACAACATCCGAGCAATAATGAAATAAAACCACCCAAACCAAATGCCCAATTCGCGGGACGTCATTACATTTTCTCAAAACGGTCGCATTAAGTCTCGCTAAAAATTCCTTTCCGGACAATTAAATAATATATCGGTAAAGTGGAATTAAAAGAGCCCGCCATATTAACCGTTTATTTCGAGTGAGTAGAATTTCCATCTCGGTGTGCGAACGCTAAAGGACGCAATTAACAATTTGTTACTGTCTGCCATAATGTCTCGCATGCGACGTTATTTCACGTTTCTTATTTCTGATTCGTTCCTCTTGTTTTAATCGCGTAATGGTCTTTAAAGTACTTCGAGTGGCTTTCACGTTTCCGAGCGGACAGGCCGAGGAGACTTTGTCTCCTTGCCAGTGATTGGCTCTCGGTTATTGGCCAATAAATCAGTATTGATAGCGTCTGGGAAGTGGCTGAGTGAGAGATACCCTCCTCCCTCGAAGGGGGCCGCGCCTCATTATTAATATTACTATCTTGTTAAGCAGCTCACGTTTTAAACCCCGCGTTACGATCTTCCGTCTCTAACGTCGGTAAGAGCGGTCGAGGATCGATTGTTAAGGCTCGCGTAGGATCGCGCTTCGAGATATTCCCGAGGAGGATCTTCATCCTGTACGATCCTTGACACGAGACATAATACGGGGCCATTAAAAGCGATCATCCAAACTTAGAGCGTGTAAAAGCAAGGCCTGCACGTTGGTCGTACAATTAGTTGAACAATGGCGGTGCCCCAGGCGCACTCTTCGGATAACTCTATTTCGCGAAGACAGTGTAACGAGTATCGACTAATTTCACTTTTAGGCTACGATAGGAAATGAGGATGTAAGGGATAATAATCTTTAGCTAGTTTTGTGTTTTATCAGGGGAGCATCCATATACAATTATCACACTATGTAAGATGGGTTAATATTTGCAAAGATAGATTTTTATAAAGTTCGCGTTAAATCTTAACATCATGTTTCTTATTCTAATATCATGCTTTCACCTCATTTTGTTCACTATAAAGTACAAATAATGGCGAAACCGTGTGAAAGTTAAGCCTTTTAGAGAAGGTTATGCATTGTTGTAACCAAATAAAATAAATAAAGGGTGTGGAGACAATCTATTAATAGAAAGTATGAAGGAAAAGTATGAGAAGAAACAGGATAGGGTACATGGTTGTGTTTAACCGAGTCTGTGAGACCACGTGCTTTTGTAGTTAAAGATTAAATTTCACTTAACCATTGGAGCGATCTTACAGAGACGATCGAGACGTTACAGAAGAAATTCTTTTTGAAAATAATCTAATTGGAGTAATCCGTGAATGTTTCGCTTACCTTCCTTCCTGCCTTGTTGTTGTGCAAATTCATCAAACTTCTCGCATCTCCTTCCACTTCCCTCGCGTCCAGAAACCTACGCGCGAACCTACCATTAAAATTGCAACATTAAAGTCCCTCGACGCACTGGAAAGTCCAAGCACGAAGACAAGGAGCTCGGTAAACTCTGTGAAATTATTCTCGCGCGTACGCCAATCGGGTTATCGTAACTCGACTAATTAACCGCGAATAATGCCTACCTCATCCCGTAAGTAACGTCTGCACTGCATCCACCCCACTCCCACCCGTTAGGTGGTAATTCCTTGCGCGTCCTGGAAAAAGGAACATCAGATGTAATCTTACTGTTCCCCCTTGCTTAGGCCAGTTGCACCAACTGTAATTAGCATTTCTTAATGATGGTTAGTTAATCTCAGATTAGTGAAATTCATGTTATATCGACAAGAATTGGAATTACCATAAGATAACCTTTCGAAATCGGGAGAATAACTCTAATCATGTGTTAAGTAATCCTTCATTACGGATTTTAACTCGAATGTGGTGTAACTGGCTCCTTATCTTTCTCAAACTGTTCAACATCTCGAATAAAAAGTCATATCGATTATTGGAAAATTATCAGTAATAGCTATCTTGTAACTTCGATGAAGAATTACTGGGATCATTATTAAATTTACCAAGTTTTTAAGTCTGATATGACTCTCATTGTTTCTAGACTCTCGAATAGGTAATTAGAAGACCGATAAAATGTCCTTAAAGTAATATCACTAATACATACATATCACAAAGACTTGGTTTTTGTATTTCTGTGCCAAGAGTTATTTTCAACTAGACCGCGTAAAATATTTTCTGTGATCAACTAAGTATGTATTTTAATTCCGCAATGTGTGTTCCTGAATAAAGCAAAATTCGTAAAATTTGGTCAAGAAAATACTCAAACAAATGCTGAAATCAATGTTGAGTCTCTGTAACTAGAGTGCCTTTCCACGATTGATGAAAAGGAGCCTACCTTCTGTGCAAGTACCGCAAGAAAGTGGACCGCAAAAGCGGTGTACTTACCTTACGGCCGGTTCGCAACCGCAAGCGGTGATGTTTCCACGACTGCAAGCTGCGGTTACCGCATACGTAACGCCGGCGGAGCTTATGGCATACGTAAAAGCCGCCTCCCTGCTTCCTGTAAAATCCAAAGATTCGAATTAAGCTCCGTCATCTTACCTATAATATACATAAATATGTATATCTGAACATATATTTATGCTAAGTAGAAAAACATGACGGTTTAATTGTCTAAAATTCAAGTACCTATATGAGACGCTGCATAGATAATGGATATCTGTTAATACAAATATATGTAGAAATCGACTTATATCGTTTGTTAAAGATACGTATCCTGACATGTATAAAAGACAATGTCCCGTCTGTCTGCTTGTACTCAATGATCTCGGAAAATACTGAACCGATTTTTTTAATAATTTCCGAGAACATCTAGGGACGACTATAGAGGCGATAACTTTATATCATCGCAATTATAGATACGTTATTGTTTACACAGAGCGTACACGTGAGTGTACGTTATCAATATTCATGTCTTAACCTGAAAAGGGAAGACCAGGGATAATTGTTGAATTTCATAGTTAGTAATTTTTTACAAATCTTCTACTAAACTTACGAACTCGAGCCTTTCGTCATCAATCGAGTAAATCTTTGGATACCTCTTGTAATTTTTTCACTTTTATCAACGTGTTAATATACTTAAATTTGTGTTTTTTTTTTTGCATTCTGTAAAGTGTAACGACTTGTCCCAAAGTGTAGTACGTTGTTACACGTAGAAAATTGTGTTAAAATCATGCATCTATCACATTGCCTCATGTAAAACATGTCTATTTTAACGTCCATTTAAGATTCTTTGAGTGACCGCGAGAATTTTCTCCGGTTTCTTCTCGCTTCTTGTGTCCGCCAGGTGAAACGATCCTGACGTTTGAATTAACACCGTTGAAAGTGACGGCTGCCGAATGACGGTCCAGACCGGAACGGAATTATTGCGCGTGGGAGTCGATGTCTGCGAAGGGAAGGAGAACGAAACCGTAAAAGGGACAGAAGATATTGAAAAGAAAAAAAGGGAAATATAGAAAAATACGGAAGACCTATAACCTCTCTGCTCCCTCTTATCATAGATTATCCCGGATCGTTTCGTATTTCTTTATAATTTTGACTGTACAGGTATTAAACAATACTTGATTATTTTTAACCCTGCGGCATCTGTGATTTTAGTTTCAACTAAATTTTCTTTCCGGGAACTCGCGTTACCTTCGTTTTGGTATAGCAGCGCATGAGATACTTTTTTCGCCTTTATCCCGTTTAAACGCATTTCTCGATTATTAGAGGGTTTTAAATTGTCATACAATCGTCCTGACACCTTTGTTTCTTATATATGAGCCGTCAATACTTGTATATCGATCGAAATATGGGGGCTCGACGCCATTTTGGTTCTGGTCTAGGCTAAGCCAAAAAGTTTTGTTTCGATAATCCAAATGTTTAAACTGTCAGGACAATTCTTAGACGATCACGAGTCATGTATCAAAGTTTCGGACAGTTCGATCCAATACCCTTAAAAGAAAGTGTCTTATTCGAATCGATTAATTTGAGGGGGGCTTCACTTCATCTTAAGCGTTTATTACATTGCCCGATGAAAACAGGCATTCTGAAGATGCCCAATTTATCACGTTATGATCACGACGGGCACTTGCAAATCAAATCGATATAGGGCGAAAGAAGGAGGTAAAGGAAAATATCAGCAATTTTTTTTTTCTGCGATATACGAATATTAAAACCACTTGTGATTGTAAGTATCTCATTGAATGTCAAATAATTGTCTGGCACTTGAAAAGAATGTATTAGCTGAGTACTGGAGTTGAAGAAGGTATAAGCATGTGCACATATTTTATAGGCGCATTTTTCTCTTATTCTTTAATAAAGAATTTTTCCTTTTCTGTTTCGTCTGCAGAATAAGAACACAGAAATGCGTTTCCTGAGGTTGATTGAGCGTCCGAGGAGTACAGGTTTGATCAATAGCGTTTCTCATGTCAAAACCTCTTTTTATTGTGGGTAAATTACGAGAGAGTGTCGTGCAAGAGGTCGGTGCACTAAACACTTTGGTAAAATGCATTGCGTGCATGTCGGCCCACTCGGGGCTGGTCTCCCCTACTGTAGTTAGCTACCTTTTTGTATATCTGTACAAGTGCTTGCGAGTACACGTTAGAAAGTGGACGTTAGATTTAACCTTTGAGATTGAAGAGACAAATCAAAGATGTCGGTGGTTGTTGTCAACTCCGATTTAACAGAATCGGCGTTCACCGATTATACCGCTAATTTAAAGTAATTCTAACTTCGGCATTACATCCGGCATTGCTAATTAATATATACATTTTTCACACAGTCATATTATCCAAAATAATAATTGAATATTTAATTTAGATTCACAATTGAAAACTTTCCACCGCAATTCTTAATCCGTATAATCATTCACTTTCCGCTGAAGTACGAATGGCAATTACTCGGTCAAAGGATAAGTGAAGATCGAGAAGATCAGGAATTCCAATGGGGGCTATCACGTACTTCATTATACGGAAGAGAATAAGTAAGATGAAAAGGCTCCTCATACCGTGCGAAACTCGCAATTTCGTTCCGGTAAAGTGCATCGCGTGCGCCTCGGCCTACACTCGGAGTGGTCAGGCCGTTTTCAATGCACTTTGCCAACTCTCTGTTGAATTTCTTTTTTTATTTTTACCCCTCTTCGATGTGGGTTAGGTAGGTGCACCTTGCAGCTTATATCGGTCCATTCGCACCCCACATGCGATCGCACCGTCCCCGTAATCCGGCGACGTGGCGGCGCAAGCAAGATCGATATCTTTGGATCGGATCGTTGATTTATAGGGCGCCTCAAGATACGTATCTCTGCCTCTCGTCTCACCGCGTGTGTCGCGATGCATCCAATTTATGTAGCACGCGACATTCCGCGACGCCTCCTGGGACGCGTCCACTGCGAAAATTGTATCTTGGGCCGACACCGACTGCGAAGGCATAATTACCGAGAAAATGCCAGATTATCCAGACAAAAATAATATTCATTTCGATATCTTGGGGTGAATTAATAAAACACTGAACGATTATTTTCTGGGCCTTCCGTATTATTTACAAAGGAGATTAGTACCCAGTGGTTCACGAAGAAAAAGTAAATTAGGATAAATTGATAAAAGAATTGTAATACATGTTTTTTAAGTTATTCTTCGCCTAATTCGAAGTTGATTCAGGCGATAAGGAGTTATCTTTGGACCTCCTCGGTTACACGAGAAGGCAAAAATCCCTTTTATTAACACTAGGTTTACGGGCGTTTTTTATATACCTGTTTCTACGAGCACCCGTCAAATTGACGGGTAAACGAAAACACGCATTTTCTTTAAAAAAATCGATTTATTCAAATTAAGTCTGTATTAAACAACACTAGGCTTTACGTTTAAATAAATTATTAATAAGTAAAAAGTCCTTTTTTAAAAATTATCACGGAAATTATTGGAATGCTCGTCCTCTCATCCTCGGAGTCAGAACTAGAAAGAATGCACATCCTTTTCTTGCTACGACACCCTTTCAAGAAGTTTTCCTCTTCACTATCCGAAGATCCTTCTATCTCTCCACTTTCAACGCAAACTTTCACTCTCATCTTCGCCTTACACTCACTGCAACGAAGCAAATATATATGGATTGTTTATGAAATTAGCTAGACCGTCAATTTGACGGGTTTCGTAGAGATAGGTATACTACATACAGATTTTAATAATTAGGAGGCTTAGGAAAAAATAATTGTGTGTACAAATTCTTTGGATGAAATGATTAATTTACGATACAAAAATGGTTAAAATTAATGCTATGGTTTTTTCGGTATTTCTTTTTGAAGTTTGAATTCCGTCAAATTGACGGGTCCCGTAAACCTAGTGTTAAAAAGATTTCCCCTCCGCATTCTTTCGCGTAGGAAAAATAAATAAACGTAGTTGTCCTTCTCGGGCAACGCGGCATCTTAAATTTAAATAATATTTCTACGTCTCGCAAGACGAGAAATGTGGCTTGTAAGTATACGATCAGTATATCTTGGTGCATTTTGCGGCAAGGCTTTATCGTTACGCGTATTGTTTTAAGTACCATGCACGCAGTGGAGTGCAGGAATAGCGAAGGGACGTAAATTCAATCTATTCCGATGAAATCGAGGCTTTTACCGCGGCCATAACCTCGATTACTATAAAACTTGCTTTATGCAAATTGCACGACACGCGCCGAAATGTTCGAAGCTCAGGATTACGCCGTGCCGTTTTATGTATGTAGAATGTCGCGAAGCGGCTCTCCTACGCTCGGGCACGGCAGACAGGTTGCCTCGGAAATTTATTGTTTTCTTCGCGGACGGATTCAGCATTACCGGCCGGCCAGCTTTCCAGAAATATATTTCACTCGTAAATCGTAAACGCTACCGAACGGCTTCGACAAATGGAAACATCTTGCCGCATTAGATCCGCCTTAACGGCGGGTTCGAAGCATGATTTACGTCGAAACGATGGTTTTGCCGTTTTCCTGTGGTCACTTGGAGTCGTCTTAAGGCACCTTACTTTGCATTGAACGATGCAATAATTATTTTAAGATGAATTCACTTCAACTAAGAATAAGTCGTTAAACATAAACCTTCACCTTGAAGAGTAAGGCAAATCCAGTAGTCTAATAAGCAGGAAAGTCAGTATTTAGTCGCGAGAAATCCATAAGTCCAGTTGTATTTGCATGGTTTGTTCCTTTGAATCTTGCACGATTTCGGCAGTTCCTTAAAAATTGTTACTCCTTTTTCACGCGAATACGATACACATTTTATCAATCATACAGTAGCGGCGCAGTATTACTTGGCGATGGTCACGCATGCGAGCAAGAGAAAACATTTAAGGTGATATAGGAGGTGGCTTTGAACGGTTAGTTGCACGGACACATTTTTTAAAGATGAATGAACCCATTCGTCTGACATTTTAACACTCGTCGATGAAGGTGTTGAGATCGTTCCGGACACTCAAAACAATGAATTAAAAAAAAAAGGGAATGTCATTTAGTATAGTCCAGGACCAAAATAGCATCGTATCACATATCTTC